GCTGGGTTGCACTGGGCCTGCTTACATTAAGAAACTGTGTCCCAGGCTTGCCCACAAGCCAGTATAGTTGAGGATATTTTACAGAGTGAGGTTCCCTTTCCCATATGACTCTAGCTTGTGTGAAGCTGACAGAAACAAAACAACAACAACAACAAAAAACCCACTAGCTAGCACAGTCAGATTCAAGGATAAACTCTATTAAAGTTGTTTGAATCCAGTGAAGTAAAGTAAGCCTTTTCTCAGATCTTAACCACGTGGACTGGAGAGATAGCTCAAGAGTACTTGTTCTTTCAGGGGACCAGAATTCAATTCCCAGCGCCAACACAGTAGCTCTCAGTTGTCAGTAACTCATTGCAGGAAATCCAAAGGTCCTCTTGTGGTTCATATGCAGGCAAAGCACTCATACACATAAGTAACTTTTTTTTCTTTTTTTAAGAATTAGCTACCGAGTGTTAAAAATTCAGGTTTCTTCACCTTGTGTTCATGTGTTTAATCAATTCTGGAATGTGTCCCAAGTCTGTTTTTAAAATAAGAACACCCAAATAATTTCTGCTAAGACCCGATGGCCACACTTGGGAATTCTGTTGAGGTTCTAGATTCCATTGCTGAAATGTGCAGAATTTTCTAAGTGCTTGTGACTATTGTGGAAAATCGTATTGTCAAGCCAGAAGTAATGGCATCTGTGACAGAAAACAGAATTGCTGCTAGTTTGAGGCCATCCTGGACTACAAAGCAAATTCCATACTAGCATTGGGAAGACGTACTGAGACCATGTCTCAGCAAAGGTGGACAGAGGTGGTAAGAAAATGCTATTGTTGTGATAGCATTTTGTGATTGGGGGGTACTTTTTGTACTTTGAGTCATTTCACGTAGATTTCATGATTACTATACCACTTCATGATAGGTAGGTGCATTTCGGGATTGAGCTAGCTCAGTGCATAAAGCGCTTGTCACACAAGAGAAGGACCAGAGTTTGGGTAGAAAGAGCTAGGTGGGATTGGGGAGTTGAGTTTGCCTGTCAGCAAGTTAGACATAGGATCTCAAAGGATTGTATAGTCAAATAGTTGTGTATAAGGCCTAGGATTCCATCCCTAGTACTGTAGGAAGTGGGGAACAGGGTAGGCATGGTGGTGCCTGCTTATAATCCCAGACCTAGGCTGGTGGGGCACATATTCAGAGATAACCTAGTTTTGTTTAAATACCTAGCAGGACTGTTTAGTAGAGAAAGATGAATCATGGATTAGCAAGCAAAACGGTTTGTTTCTGGCTGTTTTTCTGTTGTTCTTCATATGGTATGTGTTCATTTTATTGTTGCCTTAATGTTGCACTTATTCTTTTAGATCAAAGAGAATGGCACTTTGCGCGGGTGTGTGTGTGTGTGTGTTTTCTCTAGGGGAGTTGTTTTGTGCAGAATGTCACTTTGACGCCTGCCTGGCCTGGAACTTTGTATCCAGACTGGCCTCTTAAACTTGGCAATCCTCTTGCCTCTGCTTCCTGAATACTGGAATTACAGGTATGGGCCATCACTCCTGACTTTCAGTACTAACATAAGATTGAAAGTAATTCTCACAGCCTCTCATGTGTTGTTGTGGGTAACAGGAATGAACCTCCATACTCCAACACTGACCTTAAGATTTCTAGCTGAAGCCTTTAATCCCAGCACTCGGGAGGCAGAGAGGCAGCAGATCTCTTGAATTAGAGGCCACCCTGATCTACTACAGAGCTAGTTCCAGGACAGCCAAGGCTACACAGAAAAACACTTTCTCAAAAAACAAAAAAGGATTTCTATAACTCTAGATTGTAGGAAAAGTTTTTTAAATAACTTAAAACGACATATTTTGCTAGTGAAAAGCTTGAACCATTTAAAGTGTACAAATTTATTTTTGTCGTATGTACAGAGTTGTACAGTCATTACCATAATTAAGTTTTGGGATATTTTTGTCCCATTCTACAAAGATACCTTGAACCCATAGCAGTCATTCTCTTACTTCCTTGTTAGTGCTAGAAAAACAGCAATTTTACTTTCTGTATGTGTATAGTTACCTATTAGGAAATGTTGATCAAGGGCTTAGATAAAAATAGCTTAGTGATAGGTAGGGTGTTTGCTTGGCTTCTGGGAGTCCCAGGGTTTGATCTATAGCACCAAGAAGGTGATATTAATTGCTTTTGATTGGTGTGCAGAAGATTGCTAGATTTTCCACTTTCCAATGAAGATGTGTATTTTTTTGCTTTGTTTTGAATACTTGCTTGAATTTTGATGTTCAGTTGTCTACTTTCTGTCCCATAGTAACACTGTTAGCAGTATTTAAAGTAATGACAGAGAACTGACAAAAAATTCAGTCATTGTCATTTTTGACAAACTTAGTATGGTTAGAATCTGTTATTCCAGCCAAGAAACAAAAATGGGAAAAGTGGCCGGTATAAAATGGGTTTTCAGTGAATTAACCTGTGAAGAAAATGAGGTAGCTGCTTCTAATTTGTATACCAACCACACTGGCTACTTACAGTTTATTGTAATCTTTCATCCTTTCACCAGATTCTCTAACTATGGTGTAATGATCACCTTATTTCTTTAGGAACTGATATTGAAGGAATCTGCTAAAGTTTGGATCTTTGAAATTTTTGCTCTTTGACATGTGTTTCTTTGACATTCATGTTGCATAGTAAACAGGTGATCATGAAAGAAGATATTACGTGATTGTCTTGTTAGCTGCTATAAACTTCAGATTAATGATGTACAGACTTTATGCTGATACTCACAACTAATGAGAATTTGAGGGTACAGTAGACACATTAGGCCCAGAAGGAAAATGTTCCACAACACTCTGCCCTTCTACCCTTTCCTCCAGCTCTCCCATTCTTTTGGAATGCTCCCTGAGCCTTGCAGAGCATGATATAGAAATCCCAGTTAAGGCTTGTCTTTCAACAGTTCTGTTATCTCAGCGCTTTGACCATTAGAAGTTTCTATAGTAAGCACATAATCTACTGCCAAAAGAATCCTCTAGCCACAGCTGACAGCAGCGCTGGTGCATGGACATAAACAAAAATATTTAGAAGGCATTAGAGAAAGGCACAGAGTCTCCAGTTAGTCAATATAATCATGGAAGCTTCCTCACTAGGGCCTGTGCCTTCCCAAGCCACAGACTTTTACCTAAGCTTACAGTACCAGATCTGAATTCCTTACTGTGGAGTTAACTTCAAATCTAGACAGGAATAATTAGCCCCTAAACAGACCTGCCACTACTGGATCTCATTTTCATACAAGTGTATACTGTATGTTTAATGCTCTCTTAGATTTATTAAGATTTTAGGGAGCAAATTTGATATAACTGAATATGGACTCTTGTTAGTAAGGTCTGAAATTAGAGCCTGCTGATTTGAGGTTTTATCTATATTTCTCTTGAATGTCACTTTTGGAATCCCCTGCAGTTCTGATGGATGGCATTAAAGGGATAATAGCATTGAGTTTCGGGACCACTAGTTAAGCAACTTTTTTTTTTTTTTTAAAAAAAAAGGAAAGAAAAGAAAAGATTCCAGCTGGGCAGCTGTAGTGCACACCTTTAATCTCAGCCAGAACGTGGGTCTTCAGGGACAGCCAGAGCTACAAAGAGAAACCTTACCTCCAAAACACGTATAATAAACACGTATAATAAACTGTATTTTCTAGGAAAATGTTCATGTTCTTTTGTTAATACTGATGTTTAAAAACCAGTGCTATTGCCGGACAGTGGTGGCGCATGCCTTTAATCCCAGCACTTGGGAGGCAGAGGTAGGTGGATCTGAGTTTGAGGCCAGCATGGTCTACAAGAGCTAATTCCAGGACAGGCTCCAAAAGCCAGAGAAACCTGTCTTGAAAAACCAAAAAAAAAAAAAAAATATTGTTATTTATAGTAGAATGACATAATAGAGAAAAATTGTAGAGAAGAAATAGCATTAAAACAGTAGTAGTTTTCTAGAGATTGGCATTTAATGTTCTTGTTTGGTCTTTTGAGACAGGCTCTTAACTCACCCTGTAGTTTAAGGCTGACCTTAAACTTTGCCTCGGGCTCCTGAACACTAAGGTTACAGGCTTGGCCAACATTCTGATGTGTTATACCTTTTACACAGATTTTTTTTTTTTTAAAAAAAGCCTTTTCTCTCCTTTGAGTATTTTTAATACATATTTCCAAATATGGTAACCTCTTGGCTTTAGCTTCTATTGGTGTTAAGAAACTAAGCCAGTTTAGGCTTTTAAGTAATTTACTCCAGTTTTAGTTGTTCTGGAAACAGACTTGCTGTGTATAACCAGGTTGGCCCCATATTGTTTGGGAAGAATTTTATAGACATCAAAATGTGAAAAAAATTTATGGTGATTATTTCTAGTCCTCACAAGAAGAGAAATTAAGTTAATATTTTGAGTTATTGGGGAAAATTTTATATGTGTACAGTATAACAAAATAAAGTAATTTTTCCCTAACAGATAAATATAATCATGTGTCTATGCTATTCTTGAACTAAGCAAAACATGCGATTCCTTTTCAAAGAAGGACAAATAATTGAAGTAGAGTTTGATGTGGAGGGAGTTGGAAGGCAATGACGAGGCCTTTCTGAGGTGTGGTATAGCTGGTGGAGTCAGTTCTTCCATTACAAAGTTAGTCCAAGTTTGAAGGATTTGTCCAAGGTCAGGAAATGATGCAGGTGGCTCAAAATTGCTATGATGGTGAGAGTAGTTATGAAGTGGCCATGCAGAAGGGAGAGGGTCTTGTTACTCTTGAGCAGTATATTTAACCACTGCATTTGTCTTGTAAATAGAGTAAAGGTTCCCTTTTAAAAAAACGTAAATTTCCTTGTTGGAGCCAGAATCTCCCTAGCTAACTATGGCTTAAAATTTAGCAACCCTTAATGTCCCAAGCTCTGAGATTATAGGTGTGTGCTTCCATGCCTAAGGAATACATTGTAATCTTAAAAGTATTAAGTGATAATGTTTTTTCATTGACGCTCTCATTTCTTGTTTTTATTAGGTGGTATGGACAAGAAAAAGACTATAATGTGCTAGTCATGGATCTTCTAGGGCCCAGCCTTGAAGATCTCTTCAATTTCTGTTCAAGAAGGTTCACTATGAAGACTGTACTTATGTTAGCTGACCAGGTGTGTGAACTTTTGACAAAAAAAACCCTGCAGAGTTATTTGTATAATGGTCAGCATTTCACAGACCACATTGTTGTAAGCCCATGTGTCACTATTTTTCTCTTTAAAAAATTATAAAAGGGTTGTTTGTTGTCTTACAGTAGTGTAGGGTATTTGTTCAGGTGTGCTTTAGAAATGTGTTCCTCAGGAAATAAACTATTACTTGCAGCATTCTGTATTTTTTACTGTATGTGGTAGCACAGACTCTTAGAATCCCAGCATTCAGGAGACTGAAGAGGGGTTTTAGATTCAGGGCCTTCCTGGGCATTATATAAGATCCTACTCAGATGAACAAAGAGCTTAATTTTTTGTTTTTTTAAAATAAGGTACCAGGGTAACTAAAGATGAAGCTTTAGCCAAATTGATGCTTGAAGTCAAAATCTGAAACATCAATAATAGCATTGAAGCAACACTAGGACATTTTAGAAATGCCTAAGTTTGCCTTTGTTTTGTAGCCCAACCTGGCTTCAAACTCCCTAGGTTTACCACTGAGAAAAATAAAGTAGAACAGTCCTTTCTAGGAACTGAAAGTCAAAAAAAAAAAAAACCGATAAAATATCTAGTCGAGGTTCTGTGGTATCATGAGCAAAAAATTGCTAAGGATTATAAGGCTTTCTTGCAATATATATTTTAGCAATTATTCTTTTTCACTATGTAGAACAGGCTGGTCTTGAACCCATAGAGATCCACCTGCCTCTGCCTCCTGAGTGATGGGCTTAAAGGTGAGTACCACCACATTCATCAGCCCGTTTTAAATCATTAAATACTAACAGAACAAGTCAAACACCACAAAAGTTTAGGCCTTGATAGCCAGCACACTTGAAATAAAGGGCTTTGTTCTTTTATTGTTTTTCTAGTGCAGTCATTAACTGAAAGACTGGAGTACTTGAGAAATTGAGTTGCTGCTTTTGTCACTTACTGTTTTTATCCCTTTTCTTTTTCAGATGATCAGTAGGATTGAATATGTGCACACAAAGAATTTTATACACAGAGACATTAAACCAGATAACTTCCTAATGGGTATTGGGCGTCACTGTAATAAGGTTAGTTAACTGCTCTTGGCATGAAAGAACAGTAAAATATTGATATGAATTGCTTTGATAAATTTTTGAATCTTTAAAAAGCCATAGTAATTGTATTTGCTGTAATCTGCTTAAGAGATTGTGTTAGAAGGATAATCAGCTAACTCTATTAACTTAATAACTTGAAATATAGTCTCTCCAACTTAGCCCACTAAGATTAGCTTATTTATGTGAAAATAATGAAATTCCAAGGGCTTTAATCATCTGTACTTAACTTGGACAATTGTATCTAGTTTTCATTCACTTAAATAGTGAAAACATTTACCTTTAATCCTTCTTGAGTGGTATAAATCAGATTCTAACTTTATAGACGCTCTCTCTATATATGTAATATATGTGCTTGTGCCAGTATGGCAACCATTGACCCATCTGTCACTATGGCATTAATCCTTGCTGGCTGAGCATGGTTGATACTGAGAATTCTTTAGTCCTTGGATTGGGGTATTTAAAAGAATAACTTTTGGGCCTTCTTCAAAAGTAGCTTACGGTTTATTAATTGGCTTCCTAATTGGGTGAGTTTTCCACCCTCCATGCTGTTTACAGGAAAATACTGACCAGTGGTTGAATATTCATATAGAAAAATGAGTGCTTATTGGGGGTTTCTGACAATGGGTTCCATATACGGGGTGATTAGGTTGTAGTGACGCATGATTGCAGTTAGAAACTAATGATATTGAAGTTTTGTCTGCAATGCTTAGTTTTATTGAGTGAATTGCTTTCTTTATTCATTCAATGTTGAGCTCGGGCAGACAGGCAGCATTGGCAATGCACGAAGCATGTTCCAATCTGATGATCTCAGAAATTCTCAACTTCAGGACAACTGTGGGGGAGGGGGCTTTTTTGTTTTTGTTTTTTTCTTTTTTTTCCTTTTATTTTTCTTTTTTCTCTTTTGTGGTTTTTTTTTTTTTTTTGGAAGGAAACTTCCCATTTGTTAACCAGTTAGGGAATGTGGTGTTTTAGGTCCAGCTGTAAATGTTTACCTTTGTTTGCCTGTATGAATGCCAACTTGGAGCCATTATATTAGAACTGGTGTTGCTTGTTAATGTGAGATTAATGTTGGTCTGACCAAGTTTTAGATTAGATTTTTCACTGAACTTCATATATTGAAGGGTTTTATAGCCATATAATTTGTCTTGCATTCCAGATTTCATTTAAAGAAATGTGGCTACTCTCTTTGAAGCAGCCAGGTTCTTAGTTATTATTCTAAAACCTGGTAATTGGTTAGAAAAAAAAAATTTGGCCTTATATTTTTCTCCTACAGTTTTGGCAGTTTGACTCTTCTTTTAGTCATTTCCCGGCCCTCTCCTTCCTGTTTTCTTACCCTTAAACACCCATTATCCCTACATGGTCCCTGTTCTGCATAGTGACAGCAGTAAGTGCATGGTTTTTGCCTTCACTTTAAACAGTGGCCTAGGTAGTAACACTTCACACTCTTCCTCCCCCCCTTATGAATAGTTGTCTTATTCACATACATGTCTTGGATTCCATGTTTCTTTTTTAGAATCTATGTACTCTGTACAGTTGGTCAAATGATTTTTGTGGCACTGCTTTTCTGGAGCTCTTTTCAGAGAGATTATTGGACAGAAGTGAAGTGTTTTATTTAAGATTCAAATATAAATGTTTCTCTTGAACACTTTAGTGTTTTGTTTCTGTAGTTGATTTTTTTTGTTTTGTTTTGTTTTGGTTTTTTGTTTTGTTTTGGTGTTTTCTGTACTGTAGTTTGAAATTGCCCATTGTGTAAGACTGGTTCCTTCAGTCAGCTTGTACCAGTAGTTTATAGCCACAGGGGGGTCAGGCTTGATGGGGTGGGGGCAGCTTCCGAGTTTGGCTTTTGAAGTTAAAATTACTTACTTGAAAATTGTTCTGAATTTGATATTTAGGAGTAGCCACTCCAATCTTAGTGAATTTGCTCATCTCGTCCAGTAATCGGCCCTGCATGCTTTTAAAAATAAATTTTAAGGTGACTAAATGCCTTCTACCTCTTCCTTACTGAAGATTTTTCCCCCATTCATTCTTTTTTGGGGGAAGGGCAGATTGTGATATCAAAGATTGCAGATCCAAATTCCCCATTTTTATTTAAAAATGAAAAAGCCAAATGTCACCATTGCTATCCCTGTTTCAGGCAGTGACACAATCATAGTGGCATTGAAAACATAAGTATTGTAGAATTCACTGTTGTTGAGCTCATGATTTTTATTTGGAAACTGAGAAGCTACAGTGCTTGGTGGAAGAAGGATGGCATTTGGCTACCCTGTTCTTTCTCTAATGCCTCGGTGTTGCCTGTCTGCGCCGGCCATTGTTGCAATGTACGCAATACTGTTTGATGCACTGCCACCTCTATTGTCTGTTCAGTGTTTAGAATCTCCAGTGGGGAAGAGGAAAAGAAGCATGACTGTTAGTCCTTCTCAGGACCCATCTTTCTCAGGATTAAACCAGGTCTGAAACTGTCTCCTATTCCAACCTCAACCCCAAAGTCATGTGCTTTTCTTTCTTATTGTTTCGTTTTAATTACTTTTATTTAATTCTGGAGAATATAGATCTTGCTCAAGCACCTCTTACGTTGGCATTATTCAGACATACTTGGCAAACATGTAACATTACTAAGATATTTTTGTGGCTTTTGCTTAAAACTTTAAAAAGCTTAGAGAAAACTTAAATGAAAATAGGATACTGTCTTTGTTTTAGATCGACAGCATTGATATGAGGAAATGCTGTTAGTTTAGTATTGGAACCTTTAAAAATAGACTTGAGATAGACTAGCTTTAAAAATGTATTTGGAGTTGGAGAGCTTACTACACAATTAAGTCTCATGTGCTATAGTAACTGCTCTGCTGTACCTTCCTCTCCTTTCTTAAGAGCCTCAGGTAAGTAGAAGTCAGAGTTCACATCTAGGATTTCTCAGTGGTTGCTTAAAGAGGACTATACGCTCTAGACTAGAGGACATTGTATTTATAACAGAACAGTGACAGGTGAAGGAGAAAACAAACGACCTGAATATATAACCCGATTTAGATTTGGGCAGGCTAAACCAACCAGTAAAGAAAAACACTTTACATTTTCTTTTCTAGAAATTGTAGCTGTGCGCCCCCCCCCCCATGTGAATTTGTTTTTGGTTTTGTTTTGAGGCCTGGTCTCTAGCCCTAGGTTGGCCTGAAACTTGATAAGTAGATCAGGTTGGTCTCAAACTCAGAGACATCCTACCTCTGCCTCCAATTAAAGGTGTATGTCACCAAGCTTGATCCAATATAAATTTTTATAGACAAAGGAACATTTATTTTAGGATGTGAATTTTGGTGCTTCTGGAACCCACAAGTCTATAATTTGATGCCACGTACCTTGAGAAGACAATATTGACATAAATAACCAAAATTGAAGAAATAATCAATCTGGCTTAATTCTGGCTTAATCACCTAAATTACCTTTCATTTATTTTCTGCACTGCCTCTGTTTTGGTTTTGCATTTTGTTGTTTTCAGTACTCTCCAGGGGGCAAGCTCCTCCTGCTTCAAAGGGTTTCAAGTACTCAAGAGTTACCTTATCCCAGAAAAGAAATGCCACTATTGGATTGAGTGTGGTGGCGCGCCTGTAATTTGGTAGGAGGAGGAGGATCACAGCAAATTCAAGGCCAGGACTAGTTACATAGGGAGTTCCAGGTAACCCAGGAAGCTGCATACTGAGACCTTCTCAAAAAATAACTCCACTAAGAGCTTACTGCTATGCCTAAATCTTGGCGGAGTAAGAGTGCGTAATTTAAATTGGTCGTTACAGGAAGAAACAAATTTTAAAAACTTAATAGCCTCAGTTTTACTTATCCATATCTGTACATTTTGCTTACATTTTGTAGCATAACAGCTTGATAATCTAAATAAATGCTTTACTATTCTGTTTATATTATATACGAGCTAGTTAGGTTGCAAATAATTAATGCAAGTTCTCAGAAAACGTAGTTTGTTCCAGTCATGAAAATTGCCTGAGTCTCTGCAGATGCAACCCTTATGCTTAACTGGCACTGACTTTCCTTATTTAGTTCTTTTTCTTTCTGTAGTTTCTTTAAAGACTGGAGCGTTTGAGGAGTTAGTTTTGGCTTGGGTTTTTTGGTTTGTTTTTTTGTTTTTTGCTTTTTTGTTTTTAATACTTCATTTTTCAGAACTGAGCTTCTTGAGTCTTTGGTTGTTTACACAGTATCCACTTATTGATTTGTGAATGGAGATTTAGCTTTGAGTAGCAACTGCCAGATATAATCCACATTAGCACACTTCCCCTTCTGTTTCAAGAATTGAAGGGAGTAATCCAATTCCATGACCTAGGAATTGTTCTCAGTGCCTTCACACTTAATACTCTTTGTTGTTAGAGTTTCTGTTTTCAGTGTCATTCTGCAGAAGTGTGAGCTCGTTTACTGATACTGGTTTTCATATTAAGAGGAATGTGTAGTGTGAACTAAATGTATTAAAATACTTTCTCATAGTCCTAAATAACTCGATTGCTAGAGAGTTTGATATTAGATTTACAGAGCATTCGTTGTCCACCTATATTAATTTATCTATCTCTAGTAATTTATTGCTTTTTATAGTAGACCAAATGAAAGTATAAAAGTATAGGCATAATAGCTGGAAGAAGCAGGGTTTATTTTGTTTGTTGGAACAGGCCTTTTTTTTTTTTAATGTATCCCTGGCTAGCCTGAAACCTTCCTTGTAGACCAGGCTGGCCTTGAAGAGATCTGCCTGCTTTGTCTCCCAAATGCTGGGATTAAAGGCATGTGCTACCAGGCCTCACTGATCTTAACATGAATAGATGATTTGTTTACTTGTAACATGAGTTTTAAAAGATTACCATAGCCGTTTTCTAAAACATCACAGATTCTGTATTGGTAGAAGAGACCAATATAGTGGTTTAACAAAAATAAAATGTAGGTCTAATTAGAAGAGACACAATAGTCTTATTGCATATATAGTTTCACTTGCACACAGATATGTCAAGCTAGATAATGTTGATGATAGGATTTTACTATAGTATGGCAGTAGGGTTTTTTGTATAAAAGTTAAAACTTCAAATACAGTGGTAAAAGAATGAATTTTGTTGCCTTTCATCAAAGAATAAGTTTTCCTTTTTAAAAATTCAGTTTTGTAGATCAAATTTGAATCACTTAGAAAAATTGTGCTATTCTTTATTCCCTGGCTGCCATATAGATTATATACAACGAAACATTTTCTTCTAAAATGCTAATGTGGCTTTGGGTTAGCTCGTTTAAACAGATAATTTGAAAGCCACCTTAATTTAAATGCTGTACTTGTAAATTTTAATTTTCGGGTGAACATTTTCTATGTTTTAGATATATTATAAAACAATGTAGTGCATGCTCTTGTTTTTTATTATCTTAAAAATGGTTTATTTTTATCAGACTTGGAGGATTATGTTATTTAAATAATTAGCCTTTTATTAGCATACTGAAGAGTGACCTCTGGGAGAAGAGTCCAAAAAGCTTGTACATAAATTTTGGAACATGTTTGTTTTACCCATTAAAAACGGGCTTTCAAATTTCCTGTGGTTAAACAGCACTCTTGACAACTCGGCCTTGGAACATGTGTGTGTATGCATATACACACACACATACTGTGTGAAGACAGGCTACTATAAGAACTGGGCACGTCAAGTTACAGAAATAAGGATAATAGTTGGGGGTTACTTGTGAAGAATAGTAAAGTCTTATTGGAATGTTAAATCTATTATCTGTTCTATTTATACTTCATTTTGATATTTGGATATACTTGTTTAATTGGAAAAAAGGCTAGAGGCCTAATTTCTCTTTCTTTTTCTTTTAAAGTTATTCCTTATTGATTTTGGTTTGGCCAAAAAGTACAGAGACAACAGGACAAGGCAACACATACCATACAGAGAAGATAAAAATCTCACTGGCACTGCCCGATACGCTAGCATCAATGCACATCTTGGTATTGAACAGAGGTGAGTCTTATCAGATCCATAATGGAAGCAAGCAGTTGATGGCTTTTCTTGAGTTTGTATTAAAGTTTCTTAGTGTCTTAAGGGTGCTTCTTTGGCTGAGGATTAAGAAATTGCATATTGTTGTACCATTTGCTTTTAACTAGTGCAGAAAAGCCAGCTAAATTAATAGCACTTTTTATTTTCTTTCTTGAAAGCTGTCTCTGGGCTAGAAAGTTAAATGTCTAGTATGGTGACACATGCCGGCTTTAGCTATAGGAGACTGAAGCAGGATGACTTTTAAGAATTCAAGGCCATTCTTGGCTATGACATGTACTAGCTAAGCAGGGTCTACATTGTGAGACCTTATCTAAAAAAAGAAATGAAAAAACAAAAGCCTATTAAACATGGAAGTTGGAAGCAATTAGTATTGACATCTCTTTGCAGTTTAACATATCCCTACTTTTTAAAGTACTGATCTTCGGCGTTGTGTATTTTAGTGTTATGACTTGTGCTTATCACTGTAGTTGGCAGTGTGAACCTGGGAGAATGGAGCCTAAAAATGGGGTAGACTAAATTTTCGTGCAATAGCTAACTTTATTCAGAGCATCGGACAATTTGTACTCTGTGGGTTAAGATAAGTCACATAAGTATTCAGTCACAGCGACAAACCACAAGCAGCACATAGCAAAAATGTTTTTCCATGGAGTCAGATAAACCAAAAATGTGGTTGGTAGACCATGATCTGTCTTTCCTGTTTTGTTTTTTGTTGTTTTTTTTTTTTTAGTTTGTTTGTTGGTGGTGTTTTTGAGTTCCTTTTGATTTTTGGTTAGTGTTTCCTCACTAACAGAAACAAAGCAAAAAGTGCTGTCTTTGGGTTGAAATGTGGGAAGAGAAATAGTAAATTTCTGAATACTCTGAGATGTACTGTGATTGATTGCATTCACTTTGTGGATCTTAAAATATTACCTATCCAAATAATACCCCAGGAAAGGGTATTGTTTTTCAAGTTCTCTGGCAACCTTGTGTAGTTAACCAATCCATTTTGAACTTTAATACTCTAATTACCTAATTTTGTAAGGCACCCAATAGTCTTTATTGTCATTTGTGAACATTGTTTCTTATATGTACAGTACTTAGTTTTTATATTTTTCACTATCTGGTTCATAAAATAACATTTTCTTTTCTAGTCGCCGAGATGACATGGAATCTTTAGGATATGTTTTGATGTATTTTAATAGAACCAGTCTGCCCTGGCAAGGGCTAAAGGTAAATCAGACTCAAATTACTGGGGATTGTTTTTGTGTATCTTATCTGAAGGAAAAATATGAGACAGGTGATCCCAGAACTTGGGGAGTGGTATTGGCCCAGAAGATTAAGAGCAACCTTAGACGGCATACATAAGTAAGGAACCAACCCTTCCATCTCAGGGGAAGGAGTGTTGGAAGGGGAGAGAAAAAAGAAAGTAAATAAAGTGTTTTCCAGATCTGAGTTTCAGCCAAAGTTAATTTGCTGTTGCCTTTAATTTGGGGGAATAAATTAACCATTTCAGTAAGAAATTAGTTAAGAGCAATTGTTAAACCTGAAGGCTAGTGTTCTTGTGCTGGTACTAATTGGTGGCAGCCTGCCTTAGCTAGATAAAAGCATCATAAGCACGGGGCTTGTGATGAAGTGTGCTTTTGAGAGTGTGTAGAATAAATGTAGAATTTTTAATAGCTATTTTAAATCTTTAAAGGAAAATAGTACAATGCTCAGTTCTTTAGTGAGTAGCTTTATACGATATGGACTTGATTCCATGTATTCTTTTCTTAGCTTTCACATGCTGAATTCTCTATATATTCTGTCTAGTGACTTCAACTGCTGCATTTCTTTTAAGTATTAAATCCATCTTTGAACAACCTTTTACAGGCTGCAACAAAGAAACAGAAATATGAAAAGATTAGTGAAAAGAAGATGTCCACTCCTGTTGAAGTTTTGTGTAAGGTAAGCATACATAATGAATATTCAAAAATAATTCACATGGCATTCCCAGCCAGCACTTGGGAGGCAGAGCCAGACTTATCTGTCTAGGCAGCCAGAGTTTGAGTAGTAAGACTTGTCTAAGTAAATAAAAACTGGAGAGACACCCCTCCATGATCTGTGCCATGCTAGGTGTGGTGTCGTAGTTGTGCCTTTAATCCTGGCATTCAAGACTCAAGAGTCGGGAGTTCAGGGCTGTGTAGAGAGATCCTGTCTCAAAAAACAAACAAAAGTAGCATTTGTTGCTATTACAGGAGAGGAGGTGCAAGTTCAGTTGCCAGCACCCACGTTGAGTGGTATATAACTCAGGCTCCAGACACACTTTCTTGCTTTTATCCTCTTTGGGCACCAAGCACATACAAAGCAGGTACAATGTACATATATAAATAAGTCTTTTAAAAATAATTTATATAAAGTTTAGTGGGAGGGCTGGAGAGATGGCTCAGAGGTTAAGAGCACTAACTGCTCTTCCAGAGGTCCTGAGTTCAATTCTCAGCAACCACATGGTGGCTCACAACCATCTGTAATGAGGTCTGGTGCCCTCTTCTGGCAGGCAGACATGGAAGAAATGTTGTATACATAATAAATAAATCTTTTTAAAAAAATAAATAAAGTTTAGTGGGATAGCACAGTGAGAAGATACGTGCCATCGAGCCCGATAGCCTGGGTTTGTTATTTGGGATAAGTGGTGGAAGGAAAGACCCAACCCCCACAAGTTGTTCTGTTCCACATGCTATAGCACACATATCCATGCACATACGGAGTGCACAAAAGTTAAAGGTAATCACGTTAATAAAAGCAGGGCTTCTTAGTAGCTATGGAGCCAGTCCTAGAATTCAGTCTGTAGACCAGGCTGGACTTGAACTAAGAGACCCACCTGTGTCAGCCTCCCAAGTGCTGGGATTAAAGGTGTGCAACACTGCCTGGCAAAAGAAGCAAATCCTACATTAACAGACATCCGATCTCAGGGTAAGGAAAATCACCCTAGTAAATTTTCCTAGTAAGACAAAAAAGTCAGTTGTTTTTGTTATTACCTGCGGGGAAAAAATTCAGAATTGTGCTATAGAAAAAGGTGGTTTCTTTCACAGTTGTCTTAGTGTTTGTATTGCTGTTATGTAACAACCACTGTGACCAAAAGCAACTTGGGGAGAAGGCTTTTATTTCATTTTAGAACTCTCAGGCCATACTCATCTTTGAGGGAAGTCAGCAGGAATTTAAGTCTGGAACCTGGACTAAGGAGCTAAAGCAGCCAGTAGAGGGCTGCTGCTTAATGGCTTACTCCTCAGGGCTGGCACCATCCCGTGAGAAAGGGCCCTCCTAAATCAATCATTAAATCAAGAAAATGATTCAAACTGGTGGGGACATTTTAAAACTCAAGTTAAAAGAAACTAGCCAGGACATGTATTTTCCTTTGATTTTCCTAACTTGGTGTTTTTGCTTTTCACTTTTTTAAAAATGTTGACTCAATAGGGGTTTCCTGCAGAATTTGCCATGTACTTAAATTACTGTCGTGGGCTGCGCTTTGAGGAAGCTCCGGATTACATGTATCTGAGGCAGCTATTCCGCATCCTTTTCAGGTCAGTTAATCCCTAAGTGGCTGCAGAGGCTGAAAGATGGCTTAAGGAGAGCATACTGATCTTATACTGATCTTGTAGGCAACTCAGATTTGGTTCCCACCACTCACATTGGGCAGCTCGTAACCACCTACCTGCAGCTTCACAGGATCACATAACCTCTGACCTTCATGGGTATTTGCTCGTGTACAATTGCCCCTCCTCCCACCCCCAGTGTGTGTTTTACATATACATAATTAGGAATAATTTTTGCCCCATCTTAGTGGCTGCATATACAGAATAACAAGTCCCTAATCTAAGGCTCAGTGGTCACATGCTATGAGATTGTATAACCTCAGAACATCAGAAGCTGCACCCATAAAATCTCACCAACATGACAGTTTAAGTAAGGATTGCTGAGAGCAGGAGAAATTGTCTTCCCCAGGGAAGAGTACACCAGGTAGTTATGCGATACCAAGTAGTCAGCCCTGAAAACATACATAACGTTACACATACTGAGCAGGTTGTACTCATGGGTGTGTGTGTGTGTGTGTGTGTGTGTGTGTGTGTGTCTAACAGCAGTTCATGAAAAATGGTTATGGTTTTTTTTTTTCTTCAAAATGGGGTTTATCTTTGGTGCCTGTCTTGGAACTCTGTAGACCAGGCAGGCCTCTTAACTCAGAGATCCGCCTGTCTCTGCCTCCCAAGTGTTGGGATTAAAGGTGTGGCCTGGACTGTCTGTCTGTCTATCTATCTATCTATCTATTTGGAGGAGGGTTATATAGACATCTTTGGAGAGAGGAAGGGAGGGGAGGGGAGGAAGGGAGATTACATTAATCTCAAAATAATTTTAGAAGTAAATGGGTTTTTTAAAAACCGTTAAACAGTAATTCCAATCGTACAGAAACCTATTCAGTACCAAATAAAAAGGTGTTAAAAGCCAGGAATGGTGGTACATGTGTTTAATCCCAGCTCTTAGGCAGAGGCAGGGGTGAATCTGAGTTCCAGGCCAGCCAGGGCTACATAGAGAAACCTTGCCTTGAAATTATGTGTTCCTTCTCCCAAGAAAAAGAAAAGGGCATTAAAATATAGAATCTGTCAGAGGGCTACAGAGACTCCAGCCCTTAGAAGATAGAGGTAGGATTGGGAGTTTGGGGTCATCATTAGTTCCAGAAATGATGTCCCAAGGTACTAACACCATCTCCCTCACAAAGCTGCCAATTCTATACATGCTCCCTTAGGAGGTTCTAAATGAATCTTTCTAGGTAATTGACAACTTGACTCACTGTAGTTACTTATTCTGGGTTTTTTGTTCTTATTGTTAATTTGTTTTGTTTTTCCATTTCTAGTATGCCACTAAGGAAGTTTCTGTTTTGATTTTGTTTTTTGTTTTTTTAAGGCAGGGCTTCATTATGTAGACCAGGCTGACCTTGAACTCAGTAGATATCTGTCTTACTGAACACTGGGGTTAAAGGCTTGTGTCATTGAAAATTTAAAAGGCAGTTTCTTTTTGAAAAGGTTTTTTTTCTTTCTTTCTTCATCTAATTCACCAGACTAGAGTGGCTAACATTTTCCTTTCAGTTGTGACCATGTGAGAAGTAAATAATTATTTAAAGTTACTTACAAGAAGAAAAATCTTAGAGGTTACCATGCTTATGACAAAATACTCTAAAGAGGCTCCCTGGAGCTGGACACAGTGATGCTTGCCTTTAATCTCAGCCTTCTGTAAATAGGCAGCAGATTTGAGCTTGGAGAATTCTAGGCCAACTGGGGCTACATAATAGGAAAAGAAATGGCCTCAACTGTCTTGAGAAGTGAGTAGGCTATTTAGCTGGACAGTATTAAAGGGTTAACATGGCATTTTATTTTTCAGGACCCTGAACCACCAATACGACTATACGTTTGATTGGACGATGTTAAAGCAGAAAGCAGCACAGCAGGCAGCCTCTTCCAGTGGGCAGGGTCAGCAGGCCCAAACCCCCACAGGCAAGCAAACTGACAAAACCAAGAGTAACATGAAAGGTTAGTAGCCAAGAACCAAGTGACGTTACAGGGAAAAAAATTAAATACAAATTGGGTAATTCATTCATTTCTAACAGTGTTAGATCAAGGAGGTGGTTTTAAAACACATAAAATTTGGCTTGTATTTAAAAAAAAAAAAGACGTCCTTGGAAAATTTGACTACTAACTTTAAACCCAAATGTCCTTGTTCATATATATGTATATGTATTCGTATATACATATATGTGTGTATTATATCATTTCTCTTGGGATTTTGGGTCATTTTTAACAACTGCATCTTTTTTACTCATTCATTAACCCTTTTCCAAAATAAACATTTGGTGTTGGGAATATGGTATTGCCAATCAATCCAAAATCCTAGACCTAACACTTGTTGATTTTTAATACAGAATCTGGTTAGCCATGGTATTTTGACTTACTTTCAGACTAACAGTGTTGAGATATTTATACATTGTTTGTTTGCATGCTAATGCTTTAGCATTTAATGGGAAAATGTGAACATGATCTAATTTTAAAAGGTGAGTCTTGGCATTGCCTTCAGCATGTCTATCTTCTCAATTGCAGAGCACCTTGTTAACTGCAAAGCTCAGCATATCTTCCTAAATCAGAAATTCCCTCTCTGCTAATGAACTATGGCAGATCTTAATTTCATGGTGATCCTTTAAAGGAGTGTTTTATTGAAATGCGAAGGAACTTTAGGCACTAGGGTTCATTCAATGTGAAATTGAAGCCTGCAGTTAGACCTTGTCAATTGAAGATAACTGAGGCAAATGCTATTAAACTGCTAGTCTGTCTCTGTCTCTTTCTGGCACTTTCAGTGCTTCTAAGGAGTAGAACTGTCAGAGCACAGCATCACTCCCTGTTCCCAGTGCCTTAGAGTTCAACTCCTGCTTCCATGTTGTTGTCTCCCCTTTTGGGGCTTACCTATTGATGCCTGCCTGCTTTTTGCCTGTGGTGGGCAGGTAAGGTTGGTTTTTGGTTTCTAGTTACTTTATTTCTGAAAGACTGCTCTAGTCTGAATGTGGTTTTCAAATATTAGTACTTGTTAGTATTAGTAATATTCTGTATTTTTAGTGTTGCATCTAAATAATTTTTAAACTTAAAAATAAATTTTAGGCCGGGTGTGGTTGCAAATGCTTTAATCCAAGCATTTGGGAGGCAAAGGCAGGCGGATCTCATGAGTTCGAGTCCTGCCGGGTCTACAGAGTGAATTTCAGAGCATCCAGGGCTACATAAGACCCTGTCTTTGTTAAGAACAGCTTCTAGTATCTGTGGAACATTTGAAGAAATGGAATGAACTGATGTCCATCCTTGTCCCAGCAGCTCAGTAAAGTTGAGGGGCTTCCTTTCTGTGTTTCTGTGTTTGGGAAAGATGGAGTTGAAGATTTGGTGGAGGAAGGGTTTCGATGATGAGGCTGAGCTAAGCAGTTGCTCAGGGTGTTCAGCCTCTGTACTTTAGTTGGAACGTGAACGCCTCCTTTGTCTCTTAATACTGTGTAAGTAATCTTCCCCTGAAGTAGGTGACAAGTATTTGTGAGAAGTGGAGAGTCTCTTAACTAAGATATCAAACAATGCCTATGTTTGCCTTTTTCATGAAATGAAGCCTTTTTTTTGCCAAAAGCTGGCTGGGATAATAGGATCCATCACAAATTGCAGCTTCTAGAGCTGAAATTGAAATCTCATCTGGCCTAGAACATTTTTCTTCAGGCATTCAGCAGCCTTCAGAAAGAAGTACTTTCGTTTTGACCTAGTTTCATTGTTCTAATTTCCTATGTGTTTATTACTCAATATAAAAGCAGAATTTTTGTCCTGCTTTATCCAGGTATTAAAGACGAGAAGTTGGATCCACTGAGTTAGTATGTTTCCTTGAAAAAGAAAAGTGATTAAACTTAAGTTTAAGCTGCCTTCTGTATTGTACCTTTTTCATAAAAGTAACTTAAAATCGTAAAACAGTTACAACATCAATAGACACAGTGGTCATGCAAATTATTACGTGTACATGAACCAACAATGTTCTGAAATACGAGATTTTCAGTAAATACCTTAATATGACTGCTTTCAAAAGGTACATTTCTAAGACCAGGTTCAGTGACATGAATGCTTATAGTCTTAGCTACTGGGAGATTGAGGTGAGGATTGCTTGAGCTCAAGAGTTAAGGGCCAGTGTTCCTTCTCAAAGGCGGGGAAGGGAGTGGAATGGGTTACCAAGAGGGTTTTTGTTGTTTTGGGGGGTTTGTTTGCTTTTATTTTTATTTTTTACCTTGAGCAAAATACTGCTTGCCACTGAAATATGTCAGTCTGGTGCTAGATAGAAAGTTAGCTAAGTTGGAAAGTGCTTGCCTTGTATGAATGTGGACCTGAGCTCAGTTATCTAGAACCTCCATTTTAAAAGCCAGCAAGGACTGGGATGTGTTTGACACACACCCTAAATCCCAACACTTGGGCATAGAGCAAGCAGATTTCTGTGAGCTTGAGGCCAACCTCAAAATGGTGAGACAAAGACCCTGTCTCAGCAACAAAGCTAGCAAGCTGTAATGACATTTGCTTGTATGCCCAGCCCCGGCTAGCAGGGTGGAGACAGGCAAAACCTTGGGACTTCCTGGCTGGCCCTAGAAAGCCCAATCAATAAGCTCTCTGTCCTAGTGGAAGACCCCAACTCCAAAATATAAAAGACATCAGAGGAACCACCACTAGGCTTGACTCTTGACCACGGCCCACACAGAGATGCACAACAAGCTGTGCCGCTATCCAGAATACACAGTAAAAGAGGTGGACTTTGGACTCCTTAACATTTGTAAAGTTAGTGTTCATACAGAAAGCGCTCTCTTCGTACATAAAGCTAAGAACAATGCACCTGCCCTAAGGGTGGCAAGAAATAAGCATGAGAAAATTAGTCTTAGACCCTCTGCCACTCATATTATATAGGTGATTCCAAAATAATAGGATGTATAAAACAATACTTAGTTTCTGCTACTTTAGCTTTTGGTCTCATGGAATCTTCCAATAATGGTAACACCATATTTTTTCTCAGCTCAAAAATTATGGAAAGTGACCAGGCAATGGTGGTACTACCTGTAATCACAGCACTTAGGAGGCAAAGGCAGGCGGAGCTCAGTGAGTTCCAGGACAGCTAGAACCTGTTAGACAGAGAAACTCTGTCTTAAGAAAAAAAAAAGAAAAAAAAAAACGAAGCAAAAAAATCATAGAAATTGACTGCAGGTGGTGGCTCATAACTTTTAATCCGAGTCTTGGGAGTAGAATGATGGATCTGGATCTGGTTGAGGATCACTCGGGCTATATAGTGAGACTCTCAAAGACCAAAATAAAAAGTAAAAGATATCCCTTAGGACATACATATTATAGCCTCCTTTTCCTTTTGATGATAATCTCAGATGCTTTTATATATCAATGAATTCAGTTCATAAATCTTCAGCAAGCAGGCCTCTAAAGGTTCTCTTCTGGAAAGATCCTCTAAAGGTTGGCATTTACTATTATATTTTTTATAGTTCTTTTGGGTTTTGTGAGGGTTTCTTGGTTTTTGGCTACTCAGCAGTTATTTTTTTAAGCGTTTGTTTCTTTCATAGATATTATAGAAATTTCTAGCCACTTACTGAGAGTGTTCAAAAGTGTTCTTAAAAATCTTGATCATGCTAGGTGCACACCTTTAATCCCAGCACTTTGGAGGTGGAGTGGATCTTTGTGAGTTTGAGGCCAGCCTGGTCTACAAGAGCTAGTTCAGGACAGGCTCCAAAGCTACAGAGAAATCCTGTCTCAAAATATATAAAATATATTATATATATATATATATATATATATATATATATATATATATTTGCTCATTTAGCTAGTGTATGCTTCTTATGTCATAGGTGGATCTCTGCTCTGATAACTTTGCATTAGGCCTTTTAGTTACAGCATTCCAAAGCCAATCAAGACCAAGAGAAAGGATTTCCTCTAATGTCTCTTAGACTTTTTCCTGCAGTGCTGAAGTGCCCCTAAGATTGAATTTTTTGCTTCTATCTGTGTAGCAAAAAGATGAAAAACTTCTCCCTCTGAACATTTGACAATCCATTTAATGAGTGGTTCTACTGTTTATGATTGTCAGGAAGGTACTTGTTTATGACCTAGAAAAGGCAAAGATACATTTTATGAACATTTAAATAATTGAGTTAATTCTGATATACACACAAGTAGCTGATGCAGTAAGGACAAGTTTGAGAGTGGCCTTGACTTTCTAAGAGTTAAGTGTTTTCCCTCACACTAACCTACCTCTGTGGGTGATCCCCAGGAGCCTAAAGAGTTTACCATGTGTAGTTTAACCTTTTCTGACTTCACCAACTGCTACCAGGAACACAGCTGATAATTCAGCAACTTAACCCAAAACAGGAAAGGGAAGACCTAGCGATGGGTGGAGAAGCTGACTTACCCTGAGTACACTCAGTCCAAAGAAGATCTGGGAACTGAATCTTTGCTGAAACCTGGGATTTTCGTCAGCTTTTCTCATTGTGGACAGTAAAACTGGAGAGAGCGACAAAAGAAATGAAGAAAGTGCAAGAGACCTTCAAGGCTCCTGGGCCTGTTAACTCTCAGCTCAGGCTCTGTGATGGCTGTCAGGAGGCCTGGGAAAGCGCTGTGTAATGCCCACTATCTGCCAGTTGGAACAGATTCCTTTGTAACAGGTATGTTGAGCTTAGCAACTGTGGAAACTATTAGAGAATGAGCCTGAGTAGAGAGTACAGTCATTCAGATTGTTTTTAGTCTTTGGTCCAATTTAAGGAGGAATTGAACCTGTCACACATAAGTTGCCGGTGTGCAATCAAAAATACTTTCACCTTCCACAGTGTTCTTTTTGTAGAGCAGAGTTTGTTACTTTCATACATACTGGCAGCTTAATTCAAAATTCACCTAGCTTAATCTTGTATAACCAGAAAACCATAGGAGAATATTGTAGGAAAAGTTACTTAATACAACAACTGACAGTGTATATTGATTGAGTTGAAAATAACTTTAAACGGTTTTGTTCTTATTATACTGTGGAAGGAGTCTAAATTTCAAACACGCACCACAAATATATAAACCTTATTACTGCATGAACATCCTTTAACTGGATGGTAGACCTTAATTATAATCTCATTAATACAGAGGTATGTAGAGACAGGAAGAACTGTTCAAAACATAACTATATCTGTTTAAAATGGATTCTGGCTATCTTTTTAAAAATTGGACATGTTTGCAGTGAATTCCTAAATAAAGATACATTTCTTGTAGATTTCTTTTTGAGGGGATAGAGTATGATTGTTACTTAAAATAAGCACTTTTTTTGTGTTTAAAGTGTAGCTTAATTCCTGAATCGTCACTAGCCCTGCAACTTTAATAGTCTTCACTCTCCTTCTCTTTTAGGAAAAGAAGAGATTCATCCTTCATTTTAACTGATGACTCAAATGAAGATTTACTCTGGAACCAGAAGTGCTACCCAGGCTGCAAGATTTTAAAAACAAAAACTAAAGCACGCTGGAAGAGACTGTGCTTAGTGGTGGTTGAAGACTGAATGTTGGAGGCCTGCTATTGTGTTTTGTTTTTCCTTCTTGGTTATCATCCAAGAACTGCTCTTTTGAGGGATGTCACCTGGGTAGAAAGACCATCCTACCATTGACCTGTCTAGCTGAAGAACTAAAACTGGATTTGACTGCCTTATTCTACCAGGAATATTGTTAGCCTAATCTTCAACCAAGCCCTAAACAGTTGTAACCAGAGACTGAACTAGCCGTTCCACAAAGAAAGACTTGACCTAGAACTTCCCTGTTATTAAAAACTAAGTTGTTTTGTATTTGGCTTATACTTTGTTAGTGACTGGATTTCCACTTCAGACCTGCTTGTGTGGAGGGATACTGAGTGTAACAAAATACTAAAATATAATCACATGATTCCAGCAAATTACTATAAAGGGGGGAGCCCTAGTTTTTGTAGCCAGGAAAATTATGTTTGTTTTTACGATTTATGAATAACTTTCATAGTTAAAGCCAAATACTGATGGGGGTAAAGGTCATTTCTATTTAACTAGTCCATAGTTTCTAGATTTTAAATAACTTTTTAACTTATTACTCTGAAATTGGAATTAGATTATGGTCTGGTCGGTTTACAGATGGAATTAGAGTTTGGTTAATAGCCTTTTAAAGTAGGCCTTACTGTGCCTGGGGAGGTGGCCCAATAGATAAAACACTTAGCACAGAGTATGAGAGCTCCAGGTTCAGCAAAGGCCCTGCATCAATATATTCAAGGTGATGAACCATCGGGAAAGATAACACCTGATTTCAACCTCTAACCTAAATACAAGTATGCCTACACTCAAGTATATGTATACACACAAGAGTGCATGTGCACAACAGATTTTTTGGTTTTAAGTTTGCCAATGCTGTTTCATAATCTTAGTATTTGTTTTCTGTGCTCTTAGGATGATGAATTAGTGTTGGATAGCTGCTCATGGTTGACAGTGGGAAGGAGGAAAGCACATAATTGCCTTCAGAGCTTAATTGTATTTATCAGATACATGAGGATGTCTGGTTTCCTCCCAAATGAAAAGTTCCTAGTTAACTGGCGAAGGAATGCTTATTAAAAATGATTATAAATATTTGATACTGACTTTCCAGTTTTAGTGTTAAAAACATCTGTAATAAAGAGTAGTAGGGGTATATTCTAAATCCCACCAAACCCAAAGGAAATATCCCACCAATGTTGGCAGGGGGAGAAATAGATTACTGGCCAAAGCATGGTTTTTCTGTAATGTGGTAGGTTTGGTTTTGATTTTTGTTAAAGAAGTTAAATGGTCAGAAATGTAATTCAGTCATCTTGGGGTTTAGAAGGGAATAGACAAAATGGCTCTTGATTATTTGATGTCCAGGTTATTAAGAGTATGAATAGGTGGGCATGTTTATTCTGTCTCTAGCCATAAAGAGCCATTTAGAACCTAATGCAGAAGCCCTGGCTTCCACTTGTGGGAGAAGGAGCTGTACAACAGGATAGGACAGGAAGTAAACAGTGCCAAAGCATTGCATTGCTTGTTTCTAGTTCACAAGTCAGTCAGTACAATGGGTTTTTTTGTTTGTTGGTTTGGTTTTTCGAGATAGGGTTTCTCTAGCTTTGGAGCCTGTCCTGGAACTAGCTCTTGTAGACCAGGCTTGGCCTCGAACTCACAGAGATCTGCTTGGGTCTGCCTCCCGAGTGCTGGGATTAAAGGCGTGTGCCATCACTGCCCAGCGACACTTTTCTTTTTAATGCAACAGTGGAAGTTAAACAAGTATGAAGATCAGTGTAAAGTTTTTGTATGCAGATTACATATTTCTTTAAAGGTTTAACAACAAAGTTGTGCTTTTAAAAAAGTGAAGTAACTGTTACTGTTGTGAAAATTCTGCCAGAAATGGTGTACACAAAAGCTGGCTTCTGATCTAGTTAGAACCACCCTCTAGTTGTTGCAAATAATGTCGCCTGTTTCTCATTTCAGTTGGGTTTCTGAAATAACTTGTGTTCTGGGTCCAAAAGAAGTGGGCATCCTCTTGGATAGCTAGCCATTCACTGTAGCTGAGAGTTGGATGCTGAGGCTTTAATTAGAAAGTTGTGTACTCACTAAGGTGTGATTACTGTCCTAGTTCTCTAATTTGGGGAGTTTGTGAAAGTTTAAAACTTGTAACAACCTTTTCTGTTTTGTTTTAATAGGTTTCTAGGCGTGAATTGAGGAAGAGAAGCAGCAGAGCAGATGATTGGAGCAGCATTTGTTTCTCCCCAGACTAGACTTTTAGTTCATATGTACACTAGCCAGTGGTTGTGAACAACCATTTACTTGGTGTAAAGAACTTAATTTCAGTATAAACTGGCCCTGGGCAGCATTGCTGGTGCTGACCCTGAGCTGTAGCCGCTGTAATTGTGAATATTAACTGAGGTAGTGAAACATGGTGTCCGGTTTTCTATTGCATTTTTTTTTCAAGTGGAAAAGTTAACTAAATGGTTGACACACGAATTGGTGGAGAAATTGTGCATATGCCAATTTTTTTGTTTAAAACCTTTTATTTTGAAATATACTGCTTTTGAGATCTCTTTTCAGAAGAACGGCATGAACAGTCTTCAGCCACAGTTGTGATGGTTGTGAATGTTCACAATTGTGTGTTCTTAGGGCTTTCCATCCCTGGGGTTTGCAAGTTGTTAACTTAAAACATTCTTTAAAAGGCTGACTTCTTGTTTGCAAGCCAGCTGATATGGTAGCAACCAAAGATTCCAGTGTTTGAGCATTTGAAAGACTCTGCCTGCTTACCTGTGCTAGAAATAACAGCATCTAAAGTGAAGACTTAAGAAAAAAAAACATAGCGACTACTAGATTATCCTTAGGACTCTGCATTAACTCTATAATGTTCTTGCTATTATAAAAGCATATTTGTCACAAATTTAGTTACCGTCTTACAACTGAACATGTATGTGTGTTGCTTAGATAAATGTAATCACTGTAAACATCTATATGATCTGGGATTTTGTTTTTATTTTGAAATGGGAGCTTTTTGTTTACAAGTTCATTAAAAACTAAAAACTGTTTCTGTAAGGAAGTGAAATTTTTTTAAACAAAATGCCTTGGTGACTCAACATGAAGTATATCTTATCAATTTTTTGTTTTATGTTTTGAGACAGGGTCTCATTTTGTGGCTCTGGCTAGCCTGGAAGTCACTATAGACCAGGCTGGCCCTAAACTCCGAGATCTTTCCCTCTCTGCCTCCCTAGAGTCCTGGGACTAAAAACATGAGCCACCATGCCCAGCTTTCCCTAATTTTTTTGATAGTTCACTGCAAGTCATTGTTATATTTCTCTGCTGCGAAAGATTTTTTTTTTTTTGTCTTAAAGAGAAGAGCATCCTGTCCATTATTTTTTTTCCTATGACTCACAGACAATACCCAGTACTGCAGCTGCCATAACTTTGGCATTGACTCCTATGGCCACTGACTAGCAAGCAGATGGACTGATTCTGAATAAGAGTGGAAGTGTTAAAGGGTTTAATAACTATATTACAAGATATTTTTCTTAAAAATCCTTGTGAAATGGCTCTAAGAGTGTCACACAGTGTGAAGTTAGTGATCTTGACCCTCTAGCCCCGCTTCTGTAGGTACCTGTGCACGCTTCCTCATGGTCTCTTTTGGCCACTTTTCTTTTTCCCTTTGATCCAAACGAAGGGGGAACTTAATTGACCATAATTTTTCAAATGGTGTAATTTATTCATTACAGCATGTCAGGATAAATTAAAAAATGCTTTGTCTGAAAATGCTGCCAGGAGCTTATTGTGTAAAATACTCTGAATTGTAAATTGACACGTGTTTGAGAAGATTGTTGGGATTGATTTGTTGTGGTGTTTTTTTTTTAATTTGAACAGCAATAACTAATTCCATGATTGCCACATTATGTTATGAAGAGTTGTATTAGTACCATAAAGCTAAAGAAGGCTTAGTGAGGTGGGACTGGTGGGTGGCAGCTTCTGTTTCTTTTCTAACCATGCTTGTCAGTTAAGGTGTTTGTTTCTTGACTAATAAACCCTTTGATACTTTTAGCCAGAAATCAGTCTCATAAAGCTATTTTTGAGTATAGTTTGTGTAAGATAAAACTGTTCAGCTTTGGTTATAAATTTCCAGGCTGAACTCCCTCTCTAGCAAGATATTTTTCAGTGCTTTTATTTACTATGCACTTAGACTATGCACTTTTTCTGAAATATTTTTGTAACACTTTTTTGTATTTTTGCCATTTGAAAAGGTGTGTCATTGGTCTGTAACTAAGTTGCAGGTTTGAAACTGCTGTCAGCTTTGTGAACCAGAGCAGAAATGTTTTGTTTCGGGTGTGTTGTCTGTCTGCAGCTGGAGCTGGAATCCCACTGATCTTCTAGCTACCTTTCGTTTTCCTCACAGTTCACCAAGAAGAGCAGAAGTTCAGTGAATGCTGTTACTAATCCTGTCTGGAAATGAATCTCATTTCACCAAAATTAATTATGTTTTTCCACTAAAATGATGGTATATGTTGAAGACACATCACTTTGAAGTTGGAAGACCTCACCACTAAAGGCTCCACAGTGGCTGACTTGGCTGAACTCTAGGTTGCCACTCTTTTCTTTGTTCACCCACTGGGTGATGCAGCTTTTTTAAATGTTGGGAGATGGCCATTCTAACTACTGTTGAATGTCTCTGTTTGGGGAAGGTATAATAAGAAAATAAAAAAGAATATATATGAAGGGGAGGCTGGTTGTCTCCCATGTGGTTGTGCATATGCTCTTAGAACACATAAGTGGCACAGTCTGCCTTTGCTGTGATCTCTTCTCTGCTGAGTCTGTTGTAACTACTCAGTGTACTGTGACAGGGCACAGATTGGTCTAAGTTTGAACCACAAAGACGGTGGAGTCTAAGCTGGTAGGCTGTTTTCCCTGAGAATTGCTGGGATAATAAAGTTGATTGCAACTCAACTAGAATGAGCCCATGAGGATTGCAAAAGGGGCCATCAAAGCGTCTTTAGCTCACATGAAGATTTGCAACATCCAATATAGCTGTGCAGAAAGTGACCCCTCTTCCAACTAAGTCTTTGTGGTTTTGTTTTTTTGTTTGTTTTTTGTCTTTTTGTGACAAATCAGTTTGTATGGTGATGACCAAGATGTGAGGGCGTGTGTCTTGTGGGAAATATCAGAAATATGATCCAGACGTGCAGTTTTATTGTATGTGTGCAGTGTGGGTGTTCGGGGCTCAATTTTTCTTTTTCAAGACAGGGTTTCTCTGTAGCTTAGGAACCTGTCCTGGAACTCGCTCTCACTCTGTAGACCAGGCTGGCCTCAAACTCAGAGATCTGCCTTGCTTCTACCTCCCAAGTGTTAGAACTAAAAGCATGTGCCACCACCACCTGGCTACTTCTCAGATTCTTAATCTTTTTCTTTGGTTTTGGTTTCTTTGGGGTGTTTTTGACCTCTTAGGCTCAGCAATCCTCCGCTGCACACTGTAGACATGACCTAGCACTAGAATGACTTGTCTACTATTCTTTTTTTCTGGTGCAGACAGGGTCTCCACTTTGCCAGCATTGACACCCGCTTTTCACATGGGTGCTGGGGGGATGCTTTGGTGCAAGTTTTGAGCTAATACGGTTGTAACATTTGTGTGCGCATTGTTAGAGAACGTGTGTTGTTTGGTTTGCTTTTGGAGGCAGGGTTTTTCCTGTAGCTTTGTAGCCTGTCCTCTCACCAGCTCTGTAGACCAAGTGGCCTTGAATTCAAGAGATCCAGTGCTGGGATTAAAGGCCAGTGCCACCACCGACCAGCTGTATGTTCCACTCTTTGAAGAGGATGGGACTGAAGCAGAAGACTGAGGTCCAAGTATGTCTGTAATGTGAAATGGTTGCAAGTTCTTCACAGTTAATTAGCATTGATGTTTTGCAAGATGCAGTCTCACTTAGCCTGGGTGGTGAAGAGTGACCTTGAACTTCCGATCCTCCTCCCTTGGGCTGGGATCATAGGCAGTATCATCTAAGCAGAGATCCCCAAGAGAGGTGCATTCAAGTTGGTTGTTTTTCTTTATAAAATGTGCTGACCATGTTTCTTCCTTTTGTGACTAAGTAAATCTAAGTACGCGGGTGCTCAAGATCACCTGTCATGACTACAAACCAAAAACCATACATTTTTGTAGGTAACGTTGACTGAGCTCACTGAGATCCAGTGGGGTTAAAGGCATACACCATTATGCCCAGTGAAATGGTACTTGTTTTCTTCAAGACGGTTTCTCTGTAGCTTTGGAGCCTATCCTGTATCTCACACTGTCGACCAGGCTGGCCTCGAACTCCCAAGTGCTAGGATTAAAGACGAGCACCACCATTTCTGGGTCATAGAGTGCTTCTTAAATTACTGGTAGCACTGTTTAAGCCTAAGTGACTTCATAGATTCTGTTCTCAAATTATGTCGACCAGGCTTACCTTCACTCAGATTTGCCTGCCTCTGCCTCCCGAGTTTAAAGGAGGTGCGTGCCCAGCTAGGATTAGAAAAAAGGAAGGCTAGTGCTATTAACAAATTAGTATTGGGTAGATTTAAGATACAGTCAGTGCTCTAGTCAGGAATACTTTGAATTCTGTTATGTGTAACAAGTTTCTTGTTTTTTGTTTTGCTTGTGGATATAAATATACAATTGGAACATTTCTGTATGCCCAGGTGAGTATCATTTGATCTGATTGATACAAGCTAGTATATAAACAAAAGGAATTTTTTTTTTCTCCCTCTTACTTTAGAATACAGTACTTTTAGAGCCTGTCATGGAGCAGAATGTCTTGGGTATAAAAGTGCAGACCCTTTATTGATGTATATTAGATGATAGTTTCATTATGACATTTCATACATGTACATATATTTTGATCATGGGCAACCAACTTTATTTTCTTCCCATAATGTCTTTTTGTGTGTGACTCAATTATTCAGAGCATTTCCAAACAACTTCTTTCAGAAGCCATTAACTGCCTAGAAAAGTGGTTCTCAACCTGTGGGTCACAACTCCTGCAGGGGGGGTCACCTAAAACCATCAAATACATTTTCTGTGATTTTAGAAGCTGTGGCACCCCTGCTCTATCCATCTCCAGAGGCATGTCCAGCCACATATATGTCAAGTTTACTGAGCTTTTAGCCCTGGAGGCAGTTTTCAGCCCTTCTGGGTTACTCATCCAATTTGCCTATGACTGCCGCCATTTCTTTACTCAGTCGCAATGAGAACTGGACACTCATTTTGTCTATTGCCCAGCACAGAGCTAAGCCTACAAAGTAGGGGCTCTCTGGTGATTGAGAACTTTTCTTCCCACTTTTGTTAGGGCGCAAATCCTGACCCCTGGACCTTAGTGTGTTTCTCTACTGGGTCTTAAATGGGATGGTTGACGCCAGGCGATGGTGGCATATGCCTTTAATTCCAGCGCAGACAGAGGCAGGTAGAGGTAGAGTTCAAGGCTACCCTAGTCTGCAAGAGCTAGTTCCAAGGACAAGCACCAAAGCTACACAGAAATCCTATTTCGAAAAATCAAAATGAAAAGTGAGGGGTTCTCCCTGTAGCCCTGACTGCCCTGAAACTTCTCTTTAGACCAGGCTGGCCTCAAGCTCGCAGATCCACCTGTTTCTGCCTCTGGAGTGCTGGGTTTAAAGGTGTTTTATTAAAAATTTCCACCTCCTCCCTTTTCCCTCCCCCTCCCCACCTTCCCCTCCCTCTCTAGTCCTAGGAGCAGTCAGGGTTCCCTGCCCCGTGATAAGTCCAAGGTCCTCCCCCCTCCATCCAGGTCTATAAAGGTGAGCATCCAAACAAACCAGGCTCCCACAAAGTCAGTCCATGCAGTAGAATCAAAACCCAGTGCCATTGTCCTTGACTTCTCAGTCAGCCTTCAACTGGCATCTTTAGGAAGCTGACCAGGTGGGGCTGGAGCTACCGCTCAACTGCTAAGAGCAAGTACAGCTCGGAGAGGATCCAAGTTCAGCTCAGTACCAATGACGAGCTACTCAGAAGAGTCTGTAGCTCAGCCTCCAAGGATCGGATGCCTGTTTGGGCACCTGCACTTTGTACACATACACACAAACTTAAAAATTGAGTCCAAGACACTATGACCAGATAACAGGTGTAGAACATACAGAGACAAGTACCAGGAAAGGAACAGAAATGGACCTGTCTTTCCAATCTCTCCTCCCAAGACCCTCCTTTGTTAACTTCTCATTCCACCCACAACAAAAAACAGAAACGAGCAGTTGAGTGGGAGATGAAACCCAGGGCTGTCCCCATTGACACTCTGGAATTAAATGGAATCTGGTTTTTGAAACGGTCTGTGTATCTCTCTCTGCTGTCCTGTAACTTTCTCTGTAGACCAGACTGGCACCACCACGCCTGGCTATCTTTTGTAACGATATTAAAGCCATTGTTAGATATCATTTCCTTTGGGAAACCATCCCATGATAGTAAATCATGTAGAGAAGATGTTTAAAAGAAAATAGGATTTATGTGAGTATGGCTTTACCTCAATAAATACAGTAGGAATTGAGAAAACATGTTATTCTGAAGTTCTATCTGCTGGACCTACGAAACCGAACAAAAAATGCCATTTTGGTAGCAAGCATCTAAGTTTGCTGACAAGGATACCAACTGTCTTGAAGCTAAACTGATGGGCTCAAGAAAGCCAGACCTGACACTGGTGGCAAGTACCACAAAACATAGGAGCTATTAAAGCTTCATATTTGGTGGCACTCAGAATCAGAGCTATGAAACTTCAACACCTTTGCCGAGGATTTCCAGTTGCTAGCGACCCTGCAGTGCTCTGAGTTGTGATCAGAGCTGAATTTGTTACGCAGTAATGCAGTTTATCTAATGACCCTGCAGAAGAATAGATGGCATGTCAGCTGATACTCTTGACCGTGTAATCCAGGAAACTACATCTGCTCTACTTCCGGTGTTTAGTATCCAGCCTGATGAATCCACAGATGTTGCAAACAGTTTACAGTTACTAGTTTACGTGAGATGTATTAATGATGGTGACTTTAAAGTTGAGTTTTTGCAAACCTTGAAACAGCAACTACTGCATGTGATGTATTTGACACAGATCATTTCTTAAAGATCATAAGATCTGTGGGAAAACGTTTGTGGTATTTGCACAGATGGTGCCCCAGCTACGCTAGCTTGTCAATCTGGATGTGAACGCTTGGTACTGAATGAGTCACCAAAAGGCATTGGAATTCACTGTATGACTAATCAGCAATTATTGGCAATGAAGACGCTGCCACAAGAGTTAAGAATAAAAAGTATAAGTTCTTTCAATTTTGTAGAGGCAAACACTTTAAACTGTCAACTGTTGTCAAAACTGCACCAAATTGGATGCGCCAAACAAAGCTCTGCTATTTTACACTGAGGAAAGGTGGTTTTTGTTTAAGACAGGCTTTCTCTACATACTCCTGGCTGTCCCGGAATTCACTCTGTAAGACCAGGCTAGCCTCTAACTCATGCTACCTTCCCAGGTGCTGGTGATAAAGGCATAAAGGCATGCACCACCACCTACTGGCTAGAAGCATTTGTTTTTATTTTTCAAGAGGGTTTCTCTGTAACAGTCCTAGTGGTCTTGGAACTAGCTCTTACAGACCAGGCTGGCCTTGAAAACAGAGATCCTCCTGCCTTTGCCTCCTGAATGCTGGGATTAAAGGCGGGCGCCACCACCTCCCAGCTGAGAAAATTAAGTGTTTGAGCTTAGTGA